CTACTACTACTACCACCACCACTATTACTACTATTCTACTACTACTACTACTACTACTACTACTACAACAACTACTACTACTACTACTGCTACTACTACTTCTTCTACTTTTTCTTTCACTGTTGCTCCTACTTTTCCTACGATTACCATTACTACGACGAGTGCTATGACAATGACTGCGAGTGGATGCCTCGTCGTTACGTGCCCGTGTCGTAAATCTGAAGCACGAAATACGACGGAAACATGGGTCCAAGCCAAGTTTAGCGACTGCATGAGGTGCTTCCAGATGTCTACAGCTTCAGCGACTCGGACCTCAGGGCACAGTCAGTGTAAGTGTCTTCCTCTGTCGCCTCGTGTTTTTTGTTCCGCCTGTGCCTCTGTTGATCCTAAAACTTCAAGGAAGGCATCCGCGTCTTGTCTAGTTGTAACTCCTGCGGATTGTGCATTGAAGGGTTCTGTGTTCCAATTAGGTTGGTGTCTGTTTGACGCCAATTCTCATACGCCTACTGTGGCCCATGATCCGTGTACATTGCTGCACTCGCCGATCGTTTGCACGTGTAGCAGAAACCAGCTGAATTGCTGCGCTTGGTGCCAAGTCTGCATCGTAAACGTGAGATGATTAGCGTTTTGACCTCCTCGTTCTGCTCTCGATCATTGAAAACATCAGGTGCGGCACTGGGCGCATGTGCCAAAGCAGGCGTGGAGTGTTGCTTGAGACGCAAGCCACTGCCAGCCTCTGCATGAAGCTTTCAGCCATGAGGGGTCTGTGTTCGATGTGGCATGAGTTGTGCATGCAGACTTGGCATTGAGGACAAATTGCAGAGGTTGAAAGTTGAGGGGGGATTATCACAACAGTTTCAGCCGTTGAATTGCAGGCATGTGGGAACACGCGGTCTCGCTTCTGGGAGACATGAAACGCGTGCTGGTGACACCCAACGATGTCAGCCGCTCGACTTTACGATTACGATGTCAGTGATGCTGGCCCGAGACCTCTGAAAATCCCCGCCGAACTTGCATCAACGGTGTACTGTCAGGGCACCTCGTCGCTACACAGATTTGTTCGCACAGGGAGGATCAGGCGGTGAGCAGCAGCCAGTCCTGGACGAAAGACCGCACCGCTCAGTAAATTGAGGGATGGTGCCATGTGTACTGAGTTGTATAAAGAAGGCTGGGGATTCAATCGGAGCCTGTCGTTTTCTATGTTTGGATTTCTGGCTTCCATGTTGACCAACTTGAGCTTGATGGCCTCCGCTTTGTCTCATGCAGAGTGTTACCGAGGCTACAACTCGGCAATCAGCAGCTGCGCAGATGCTGACCTCTCAGCCCTTGTGGAGCATGTTGGCCGTGTCCTGGAACGAGCGGGTTCCCGAAGATCCCCCTTGTAATGCTTCTTGAGACAGGAGCTTTGCACCTTGCTCTGGGCGTCGGAAGAATTTGTCGAGAGGTCGGGGAGTGGCGCTTGGCACTGCAGCTCCTGGAACAGCTACCCGGACACTGCAGCTGAACTGCCCGAAATCTACGGATTTGATCACCTTTTGCGGGTTTGTTGCACTTGTGACTTTTTCCATCCCGTCGCAGCATGAGATGTGTTTGTTCTAGTTTAAGTCCTTGTTCGTCACTGGTGCCAAGGAGAGCTGGTGCGGACTGATGCCATTTCCTTCAGCGCTGAAGCTCGGCTGCAAGCGCTGCACCTGTAGTCGCATTTCCAAGTTGCCTGGATTGTTATGCAGAACAAGTCATTGATGATGTTTTTGCAGGCATGGTTGCATGACCATGATGGCGATCAGCACTGTGACGTTCATGGTAATGACAACCACGACGGACGTGCTGGCACGAAGCACATGAGACGACAGGGAAGAAGACAACGATAATTTTAGTTGATGCTTTTGAGTAGAGCACTTGGTGTCGGTTTCGGTGATGATAATGAAGATGACTATGATGATGAGACTGGGCTTGCCGATGACGGTATAGTCGTAGCGGACAGAAAACGCTTATTGGTGGTTGCCAGGCATGCATGCCGCATACATATCAAGCCAACTAAGGCCATCACATCCTGCGGACAAGCGTCTAAGTTGCATACAAGTTCCTTGCAGCTGCAACCCTCAACCTCAAGCATCCTCAACCCGTGACATTTAGCTGTCAGGGAAGGTGAAACCGACGATTCCCGTCTATTTGATCTAATTCCAGGTTGCCTGAAGTTCTCTAACCTGGGGCCGATGCTCCAATGTGGACAAAAGAGTCGCTGTGAGTTTCCTGTCCAGATTGTGAGTATTCAGGTGGGCTATCTACTTACGAGAGGTTTCTGGCAAGAATGCTGCAATGCAAGCACACCGTCCCAACGGTAACAGTGGCGGTTCAAAAAATATCCATCCCAGCGCCGACATGCAGCTCTATCTGCAATCCAGCAGAAGTCTACATGACTTTCAGACGAGGGAATAACTACTGGATCTCTATAGTGCATTCGAACAGTTTCTTACATTCTTAGACGACATTCCCGTTATGTCGGCCCCTGTCATACCGCGGCCAGCCACAGTCCAAGGCCTCGACTGTCTCGGAACGACGTTCGATCAAAACCGCAATCAAAATTCCCCCTCACGGATGATACGGTGAAAGGCCAAACCACCATGAAGCCATCATGAAGCCTACCTGCGCTCACTTTACCGATCGTTTCAAACGATCCCCGAGAGGCCGGTCAGTGGCAGAGAGCTCTGGTTCTCCTGGCATCTATGCTGCAGGCCAGGCTTTTCGTGGCCTCAAACTTGTAGTAGGCAAGAGATAGACAGAGATGGGGGGGATTTTGTGCCTTGATGCGTAGGCAGCCGTGGAGCCGAATCAGCTCTGTCTCAGCGCCGGCATCTTCGCAGCTGCAAACGGGTTGTTCGGCTTGCAGTGCTGTTTGGGTTCCCAAGGGTTTGTCTCCGGTTGTCACCTTAATATGGAGCACCTCCACACTCATTGCTAGTCCTCATACAAATACTAATACTACTTGGAACACCAAAACTATAACTTACAACTAATACTGACGCGAATATATTTATATGATACGAACACTACTCATACGCGTTACTTGCTCTTACGACTACTTGTTGGTATTATGCTTCTTAGTTAATTTGTGTATGCTTGTACTTGTACGTGACCTTGTACTTATGCTTTGTACCGCTACATGATATAATTTCATTCTTGCACTCGCACTTGTGCTTGTACTCAAGATTCTACCGATGCTTAAGTCTTATGTGCCTTTATCGCATGTATTGTTTGGCAGATGGTTCTATGTATACCTGTCTTACACTTGTTATATACTGTTGAAATTATTTGCAGCCCGAGGTGCGAATGGGAGGTCGCCTTGGCCTTGCTACAGAACATCTTGGAGACCAGGTGTGGGCTTCAGAGGATTCTCGAGGATTCTGTCGAGCCTGGGCTTGTCAGTCTTTTGCAGGCTGTCCAGCCAATTTTCGAAAGATGCCACAGTCAATCTTCGGTCAGTTTACCCTCGAGAATCGAGACATACAGCAAACCGAGTCAGACTTTTCCATTGAGTCGGTCCTGAATGTCGGTCTTGCGTAGTTTTGGGAGGTTTGCGATATGCAGAGATGTCAAGTGATACTTCATGTTTTGCTTTGTCGTTGTGTCTCCGTGTGTGCATTAGTGTGACCGTGTGTGTGAGTGTGTGTCTTTGTGTGTGTGTGTGTGTGTGTCTGTGCGCGGGTCTGTGTGCGCGTGCGTCTGTACCTGTCCACACTCACTCTCTCGCTCTCTCTCTCACTGACTCCTTACCCATCTCTCTTTCGGTTTCTGTGGTTCACCTTGTGCTCGTCTCGCGTGTAGGCATCGGAAACGGAAGACGCATGGTTAAAATGTTCCGATGATTCTTACTGTGAAGTGTACAAGAAGCGAAGGCTCCAAGCTGTGTCCGAAGTTGAGTATACAGTACACACCTAGTATCATTGGCGTTCCTCAGCCTGCCGCCCCATGTGATTTACAGCCCAAGTCTTTTGGAAGCAGCAAGGTAGCATCTGTGCATCCAATATTTTGTTGTCGCCAGCTCCCAGTCGCAGTTGGGAAATATCGAGCGACTTGTGAAAAGTAGCCACGATGGCATGACAAACCGTACTTTGCTCCCCTTGAAGGATGTCGCCGGATGGAGTCAGCTGGAGTACTGCAATTTCTGCTTGTGAGAAGAGTAGCCGATGGCAGCTGGCCTCCTACCTTCTCGCTGCTCGGTTTGCGATCTTTCTGGAAGTTGAACAAACACCACCCGCTGTTCCTAGCAGTGCAGCTCTCATGCCTCGGCTCAATGATTGAGGAAGCAGCAATCGCCAGTAATTGCATGTCTGACGCGCTCGTAGTGCTAAGGTATCTATGCCAAATGCCGACATATCACCGGATGAGTACGGCGGTCCAGCAGCAGGATAATTTGGAGTGACCAGGGATATGGGTATGCACCGGGATAGCTTCGAGCTTCTGAAACTTCGCACCGTGCCCTCAGGCTTTAACTCGGCCATTGCGGCCTGTGAGCGCGTCTGCAGGGAGCGTGCGAGCAGCTTCGACTGTTAGGTGTTCGGGAAAGGCTCCATGCAGCCGAGTCTTTATCGCTGGTAGCACGGACATAGGCAAAAAGCTCCTATCATGAGAACCGGGTAGACTTTTGCATTGCACTCCTTCCCTGGGATGATTCTCATACTCATCCGGTCCAGAAGTTGGCTCGTCACAACTTGTGCACGGTGTGCGAGCTTGTAACATCGGTATAGGCAGCCCGAACTACTGTGATGCTTGTTCCTGACTTCTCTTGGTTTGGCCGGAGCCCCACAGGACTCGATCTGGTTGAAGCAGTCGCAAGCAGGAAGCAAGCACCCTGAACATTCATCACTACAGCCTTCGTCCACAGCTGCTTTGGGCGCTACTAGCATGTCCATAAACCCAAGTCCTCTTAAGACTCTTGGGCCAACTCATAATCAGTAAACCCTCGAGGCCGGTGCACTCGCCCGCGGAAAGCACCAGAGTATGCGTTAGAGTTCCACTTTGAGCCATCGCCAGCGACTTCCTGCCTCCGGGGACACCGCTCCAAAACGAGGAGCTGCCCAAGTCGTGAGGCCCAGCTCCGAGGGATTTCGGCCTGGGATGGCTGTGTGGTTTTGCAGGTGTGCTGCAAGCTTCAGGGTATGTTTGAGGGCCAGGTCCTGCGTGGGTGTTAGGTTGCGGAGATCTAGAATCTAAAGTCTTGCATGTACGGTAAGGGAGACAAAACTGTAGGATTGGAGTTTTTAGGCGCTGGCTGGCATTATTGTAGCATTGAACTTTGCAAACTTGCGGACAGACGCTTTTACAGGGCATCTGATCCTGCTTGAATGATCACCGTTAATTGCACAAGTCCGATCCTTCCTGCTCCATTCAGGACTTTGATGAACAACCTTCCTTGCAATATAGCTTTGCATCTCATTCGTAGACTCACCTTCTAACTCACCAAGACTTGAACATCCGGTTGATGTGGCATGTAAATTGTGGTACACTATCTTACTTGCAGTCGGAGTACCTTTGAGTTTGGCATCGTGACCTCCCTACGACGTTCGTCGGAAGTGTTTTTGAACTGTGTAGGGCATCTACACTGTACAACTCCCACCGAATGCTTGCAGGTCGTGTGATGGCGCCCAGCGAAGATGCGATTCTGCTCAAGCTGCAGTTCGTGCACAGTCGACCCGTCATCATGCCGAAGTATCATGCTAAGCATGATGACAGATATCCCAAGCGACACACAGGTTGGTCTGCCAGTGTCTCCAACACCCCACGTTAATCTTCTGTGATGCCGTCCCGAAGCAACCCCAATCAGGAGCGATCACACCGCGTATTTTTCATGGCCAGGAGGAGGTTGTCGCGGAGGCCGTAAGAGACCAGGGACGATCAAGTTTCTGTGACAGAAATCTGCTCAGGTGTAGTCGCAGATGATTTACTCGTACAGACACGACATATCGAACTACCTAGTCATGCCTGATTGCATATCCGCGTGTCTCTGTGTGTTGCTCTGAGGGTACATCATAGATCATCATAGAGTGTGTGTATATAATATATATATATATGTATATGTATATGTATGTGCGTATAGATACTGTGCATTTAGAATCTCTTTTGCTCTCATCCGTCCGTCCGTCCGCCCGTGCATCCATCCATCCATCCATCCATCCATCCATCCATGCATGCATGCATGCATGCATGCATGCATGCATGCATGCATTCGCACGCCAAATATTCATGCACAAACATCTTTACACACAACACAGAGAGAGAATCGCTCCGCAACAGTCGGGGGCACTAACGCGCGCGGGCAAGAGGGGCCGCCCCCTTGCGCTTAGCCCTGGCGAAAGAAAGAAAGAAAGAAAGAAAGAAAGAGAGAGAGAGAGAGAGAGACAGATGAGGACAGAGAAAGAGAAGCGAGCTGGCCAATGGAGGAAAAGGTTCTTGGGGTGACTTGCATGTCCTTCCGTTCACATTGCGTTACTCCTGTACATGTTCAGATGCATATGACGCGGAACAAAAAACTCGACCCTTGAGGCCCCTGCTTGGGAACATGTACCAGCTTCTTCGCTGGTCGAAGCAAAAGCACGACCCGAGATTATACTCTGATTGGCCCATCAGCGTGGAGGCACTTCAAGCTTAAACTCCCTCCGTAGGAGCATACACGAGCCATGCTTTCACATGATCCCATGATCGGCAAATCCGAGTTTTGAAAACGTCCTGTCATCTGAAGGCGGCCCAGCAGCTGTGACGATGTCAGGGCCGATGGAAGCCAAGGTGCTTCGGATTGCAGACGGGTGTTTCAGAGGTTCAAGGCTTGGGATCAGAGACGTGGTGTGCCCGGGAATCGAGCGGATGTGTGAAAACAGACGTTGATGCTCGACTCTGCAGAAAGTCAGAGATTGCATGTGCTGTGTGCCAGGGTTTTGAAGCCGACAGATACGGCTTACTTGTAGAGTTCGCAGTCGCAGCGGTTCATCATGTCCATTTGGTCTGTCCAACTCCTCATGTCGTGTCGCTGCTTGTGAGCTTCCTGGCCTTTCAGTTTCAGTCTCCGGATCCCAGGTGCTGCCCCGCAGAGGTGCCGCAGTGGCCGGGATGCGCCTTGGTCTCTATCCGGTCCGAGTATCTTCCGCCGCCCTTCTCTTGCACACAGCTGCCCAGTTACACTATCACAATAAAACCTGGTAAGGGTACCGAGATAAAGCAGGGAGTGAGGGGGCTGCCAGTGTGGGTGAGTCGGATAGTCTGGTATTCGATTCGGAGTGCCCCAGGGTCTGAAACAGTGAATCTGAGCCAAGCATTATCATTATGCCAACGTTGTCAGTGGATATTATCATCATTCTAGTACTGTAGTACTGTCACCCGATTCTCAGGAAAATTGTTGATTGTCCAAGCCTCCCTCGTGGCCGTCGGTGTTTGCATTCCCCAAGCCTTGACACCCCAAGCTGCGAGAGATTAGCAGTGTTGTCGGAGGAAGAGCATCAACAGGGCCATGGCGTCTCTGCAGCGAGAAGGTGCGGTGCTTAGAGCCCATGCGCGATTGGTCGAGGGCCGGGAGTATAGCAGGACCTCAGTTTCACTCTGGAAACCATGACAGTCCTAATCTCGGTGCTGACCGAATACTGTTGAGGCAACTGGCGTGGAGCTTCCCATCTGCTTCAGGCCTGACTGCACGCGCTGTAGTCCTTCCAACAGAAAGTGACAGAAAGACGGCTTGTGGCTCGACGGCGTCGTGGTTGTGAGCCGTAGTTAGCAAACCTCGCATGGTAACCTCAGTCTGCAAAACCGTTGCAGCGAACACATGCAGATAATTCTCGGGATGACCCGTTGCATATGACACTGTGATGAGAAGGAAGGACATCGGCAAGCAGAGCTTAAATGATGGGCTAGCAGCGGCTAGCACGTTGTGTTGCCAGATTAGATGTTGGTGCACTAGGTGACATTCCTGGTGCTCAGAGTGCATGGCAAGCACCAGAGTGCACAGCTGGCTCTTTGTTGACTTGCGGCTGTGACCAATTCCGCCCGGGGAGCAGGCTTCAGAGGCCAAATATCCCCAGCCGGTCTTCTTTAAATGAGCTTGCTCCTGAGCATGGATACCCGAACGTTCAACATCTGTAGGACTTAGTCAGACAAGCCTCCTTCTTGTCGCGAATCTTCCGGCCAACGCTGTGTCGACTCGACTTATCCGCAGAACCCAGATGAAGTTAGCACACGACAAACAAAAGATTCAACGAAGCTTGATGATGAAGACTCGTTACAACCAGAGGTGCAACGCTCAGTCGATTTTCGCTTGACCCATCACTGTGGCGGGCCTATATAAAAGGTATATGTGAGCTTTACGCCAAAATGCTGCAACTCGCACTGCTGGTATACTGAGAACAACTTCAGTGTAAGAATGGAAACATCAAGGAACGACTCTATAGAGAGGCAGGCTCAGGTCCCGGGCACTCCTACACCAACACAAGATCTTTCATCGATTCGGCAGAGACGGTTGAAACAGGGAAATGGTCTCAAGGGCGAGCTAAGGAAAAGAGCTCTAGTTCTAAAGCAGCCGCATGCAGGTGCTTGCGTCGATCCTACTTACACCAGACGTTGTAACCTTCAACTCGGCTGTGAGCAGTTCCCTGGAGCAGTTACAAGGTAATTAGAGGCTTGCTGATTCATGGTTTCGACTCGATGAGAGAACATACAAAGCCCCGTCGAGAACTCGATAAAGAACCCTGTAGCACGCGCGGTTCGGAGGTGATTTTATCTTGTTTGCCTTTTTGTGCGTGCATGTGCGTGTGTGCGTGTGTGCGTGTGTGCGCGCGCGTGTGTGTGTGTGTGTGTGCGCGGGTGTGTGTGTGTGTGTGTGTGTGTGCGTGTGCGTGCGTGTGCGTGGGCGTGCGTGTGCGTGTGCGTGTGCGTGTGCGTGTGCGTGTGCGTGTGCGTGTGCGTGTGCGTGTGCGTGTGCGTGTGCGTGTGGTTGCATGGGCCAAGCACGGTTGGTGCGTTAATGCATCCCCTGTGGTTTCTGGTTTTCACAGAAAGACAAGGCCTTCGAGAGGATATGATTAGAGGCCAGAGGCCAGGACGGGATGTTGGAGGAGATGTACCTCTTAGCTTGGCGACTGAACTGAGGGTGTGCAGTCACACGTGTTTCGGCAGTGGGTTTGACAGTGGTTTGATGCAGCACTGCGCGCTCTTCGATTTCAATTCGCAGTTTTTCGGTGTGCCTGGCATCAGTCTGGCCGGCTGTTAAGGCTATTTTT